GGTGTATCTAGGTATACCCGATATCGCTCGCGCGGCCGCATTCTGGACCAACTGTAGTCTCCGAACACTCTTCAAGGGCAGCCCCATGTAAAGCGCATTGCAGTAATAAGATTGCATTTCCCAGAATCAACAAGCCAACAAGCCAGTTTGCTAAAATGAGCTTGGGCAGGGTTTTCGGGCATGTTGTGGGGATGTGGTAGTTCTCAACAATTCGCTTAATGACCGTTTGAAGTTACCATGACACCATTAATGGTCAGGACTTATGACCGTTCCCTGAACTTATGAATTTAATAATAAATAAATGATTGCCCAGAGGTTGGTAACCTTAGTGTGCAGAGAGGGGGGGGGGTGTCCTACCAGTTTGGACCGGTTTGGTCGAACCGGTTGTAGTTTGGCGGCCTAGGTTGCTGGAACCAGCCGCCATCTTGGTTTTTGCTTCTGCACACGCGCAGAGGGATATTTATTGTTCTGCACATGCGCGCACAGCGCGTCTTAACGAGTGAACCGGCAGCGGAGACTTCCGGAACCCACCCCTGCCTTAGTGGATAGATGGATGACCTCTGATTTCATCCCTCATAGGTCAGGTGGCTGTGCAACGAGCCATTTTGGAGGTACGTAAACATCGCGCCAGGTACAAAGAGTCCGTGGAAGGTTTCATCGAGGAGGCCGTGGTGCGTCGGGAGCTGGCGGACAACTTCTGTTTCTACAACCCCAACTACGACAAGGTTGAAGGTAATGGAGCCCTCCGTCGTATATTCCTTTTTAGGATCTTTGTCCTGCCACACCCTCTCTTCTTTCATTATGCTGTTTCATTAGTGTAGTAGTTGGGAGGAGGGAATAGTAAGGAGTAGAATTGTGGAATGTGTTGTTGTCATTCCTTTCTAGAAGCCCAAGGTCAACTTTCGTCTCCGCACCTCTGCACCTGGCTGGAACCAGCTGGGTGGAGATGCCAGCATGGCTGAACAAGATTAGACCATGTGATGGATTTATGAGTGTGGGGAATAAGATCATGAACTTTCAACTGGGTGGAATCCCAGGAAGCTTTTAGATTTGGGGTTCCACAGTTTGTTGCCAACATGTCTGACTTATTAAATTGGAACTTTAAGGATAGTTTTGCCTTGCACTCTGATTTAATTCTGCATGATATTTGGAATGCTTGACACTTGGGCCCATACGACACACGTAGACTCAAAGACCTAACCGAAGGTCAGGTCTGCAGGTCAGCTGCATCCTTAAACCTGTGCTGGTTGTGTGAATGCAGCCCCTGTCTCAGGTGTGAATAACTGGACTCAGGTGTGTAGCGTTCAAACTAGCTACTTTATTGTTTTCTGCCTATAATACAGGAATCTTCCCAGACGGGCAGTTTTTGCGTGGGGAAAACTAGATAAGGCCCGAAGACATTTGGGATGTATGCGTGCGCATGTGGGATCTTGCTCCCTTGTGTTTATGTAGTGAGTCCTGGCTAATTTCCCGTTCGACCCCCTCCTTCCAACTGGGTGTTCTGAGCCAGCTCCCCAAACACAACAAACCCTCTAAAGTTAACTCAAGGATTCCTTTAATTAGGAGCGCCAGCAAAAACTTGCTCTCACTGCAGGCCAAGAAGTCCGTCCGTCCGGGAGATGAATAGTTGTCTGTCCCATCTATTCATCTCCGCCCCCTGCCTTTTTTTATCCCGAGCTAGGGTGGGGCTTCGCTAGCAGCGGTGGCTCTTCCGTCCCAAGGACCGGCCCCTAGATTTCCACTGCTCTCCTCTCCTCTGCCTTTTGCACATTTGCACATCAGGCACGGGACCCAGCTGTTCCTCCTCTTCCTCATCAGCCCCTTCCAGACCTGGGGGCTGTTGACTCTCCATCTGAGGGCTGACAGACGGTCCAGGCTCCGCCTCTCTCTCTCTCTCTCTCTCTCTCGCTCTCTCTCTCTCTCTCCCTCCCTCTCTCTCCCTCTCTTTCTCTCTCTCTGCCAGCTCCATTCCCTCTTCCCCCTCGGCGCTCCCAGGTTGCCCTGATGCTGATCCCGAATCCCAGATTTGGCTGCTGGAGGGGCTGGCAGCTGACAGGTCACAACACTGGGACGGTTGCTCTCCAGCGTCCTGACAGATGTGTATTCTTCCAAAGGTGCTTACGACTGGGCCAAGACCACACTGAAGCTCCATGCCAAGGACAAGAGGCC